ATAAAATGAAAGATTATTCAATACTCTTTTTATAATAAAATTTATAGTAAAATTATGATATTTAAAAAAAAAATGGAAGTTTTATTGAAAAGAAAAAATCTAAACCAAAATTTTCATAAATAAAAAGTTATTATGATATATTTTATTATTTATCTTTCTGTTTCAAAGAACCAAGAAAGGAATATTTCTCGTAAAATATATCAATCAGAACAGAAACATTAGTAAAGTCAATGAAAAAAAAATTGAAGAAAAAAGATTAAATAAAAGAAAAGATTTATGGGTCTTAAAGATAAAATGAAAATGAAAGAAAAATGAATTTTGAGAATAAAATAAAAATACAACCCTCAAGAGGTTTCTGATAAAAAAAGAGAACTCAAAGAGATAAAATCATGACAACTAAAGAAAATAAAGACATTCCTGGATTTGTTAAGGCATTTCTTAAAGAAGAGAAAAATAAATATTATGTTCGTGTAGATAATAGTTTTATTGAAGACTCATTCAATTACTATGGATTGGAAAATCAAGTTCATGGATATAAAGAAGTAAAAGAATATCTTCTTAGTAAAAAGAAAAAAAGTATTAAACAAGAAGATGAATTTCTTTATAATGGAGCATCAATATTATATGGACTTATTCATGCTAGGTTCATTGTTACTGAAGAAGGATTAAAGAAAATGAAAAGGAAGTATAAAAAACAAGAGTTTGGAATTTGTCCTAGGTATTATTGTAATGTTTGTTTTTTGGTTATGTAAATAATCAAAATGAGAATTTAATTTACTAGAAGGCTGCATTATTACCATTTTCTCCATCTGATAAATTAAATGAATCAACTATTCAATTAGTATGTCCATTATGTAAACATGTTTATAGACCACCTCAAGAATATGCAACAATTGATGGGGCTCATTTTGGTTCATCTTTTGCAAGCTTATTTATGATGACATTCCCTAAATATGTAAATTCAGTAAAACCAATAGAAGGTAAATACTCTCCAACTATCTATGGATTTAAATTGTATAATGGTGAAATAAATGAACCACCAAAAGACTTCTTTATAAGAAAATCTTTCATGAAACGAATCAAATGATAACCAATACTTTTGTGGTTCTTTTTATCATTATTGTTTAATTTTAATTGATGATTAATTATGAGTAAACCCTTGATCTTAAAAATGAACTTTATTAATGCTTCCTGGAGTGTTTCTAAAGTATATAGCTCAATACTTATTTAATATTAATGATTGTATTAATTTTTGTAAAGTGTCTAAAAGGTGTCAACAATGTATTGGAATAATGAGTTGGAAAATTACTCTTCAAAAGAATGAAAAAATATCAAAAAGAATTAAATTATTTAATGGGTTAAGTGAAATTGAATGTCAAGTTAAAGATATTGAGTTATTTATTAATCAACTTAAAACACAAATTAGAATTCAAGCAATTATTGATTGTGAAGAAGATTGGAATAAAATAAAAATTCTTGAAAATGAATATATTGATGTTTCATCTTTAGACATTCGTTTTATTCATATTAAAAGTATAACTTTTTTACTTCATTTATTTAAAGTAATTAATTCTATTTCATCAATATCATTACCACATACATTATTATTAGGATTACTTCATAAAGACCCAATAATTCATTCATATTTTGAAGAATGGGATTGTTTATGGAAAATTAAATTAACAAATGAAGTTTCTTCTTCTCAAATTTCAACTTTATTAGGTTTAACACAAAATTTAAATAACCTGTCAAATATTATATTTTATTTATCCAATACTAATAATAATATTGTTCAATTATTACTAAAACATATTAATAAAAATCATGTTAAACTTGTTACCTATTCATTGTCTTGTATTAATGAAATTGTCAATAAACAAATTATTTTTTTATATAATTCTTCATATTCTTCAAAGTATTTTATTCCTTTACAAGCTACAAAAAAACAAATTAATATTCTTAATTCATTATATTTACCTATTATGAGATATAAAACAATTATTCCAAATCAATTAACTAATCAAAGTACGTATTTATCTATCAATGGAATTCTTCCTCAATTTATGCATGTAATATCTCATATCCTTTATTTTGAATATATTTGTAATACTTCAAATTCAGTACAAAAAATTGATTTATCATCACTTGTACTATTACAATCATTAAAAATAATAAATATTAATGGAATTATTCAGAAAACATTATTTGTATTACCGAAAAATCTTTTGTATCTTTCATTTACTAATTGTTTATATTCTCCATCTCAATTAATTAATCTTTCAAATCTTCAATCTTTAAGAAGCTTAACACTTATAGAAAATAAATTAAGAAGTATTTCACTCCCAAGACAAATTAAACATCTTTTTTGTTTAAATAACAAATATCCTATTCTAATCACAAATAAAAGAAATTTAAAATGTTTCAATTAATTTATTATTTTAAGAATAATATTTTATGTCTCTATCATTGTACTATTATTAATTGTTTCTTTGAATTAATATAAATCATTTGAAGTTATTTAAAATAAACAATAATATATTTATTATTTTTTTTTAAATTTTATATATATATTATTATAATTTTTTTATATGTTTTCATTTATTATAGTTATTACTTCAATTGTTTAATAATCTGCAATAACATAAATAAAAGAAGTATAATTTATTTGTATAATTAACGTCCTTTTGTTATATATATTCATTAACTGAGTTATTCTATTACATTTTATTGTTATTTGTTTTTTAGTTTATTTATCTCAGCATAACACTCATTTTAATTTCTAAATTTTTATTTAAATTATGTAATAATGTAGTTAGGTAAAAATAAGTTTCTTATTTTAAACAAACTAATAAAAAAAAAAGAAATCACTTACTCATTGTTTTATTGAAGATAGGTTAGTGAAATTAACGATGAATAGAATTAGATGAAATGTAATTTTTTAAAGTGTTATTAATTTCATTTATTCATTCTTTATATAATATATCCTAAACTTAAAAAAAAATACTTTAATTCATAAGTAAAAGATATATTTTTATAATTTAATTTCTTCATAATTCAAATTGTGTACAAATATCTAAAAAAAGATTATAAAAATACTTTTTGTTACGTTAAAAAGTTAAATATGGGTATTGATAGATAAGTATTGACAAAGGATTGAACTAAATTTGATAGTATGATTAAACTTCATAATTATTATTTTTATTTTTAAATTTATTGTATTTATTTGAATATTGTTAAATTCTTTAAGGACTTAAAATTCTTTTTAATAGTTTTATATTATTAAAACACAAATATTATTTAATTTATCTAATATTTTATATCCCAATTCATGTATTATTTTGTAGGTTTGTAAATGTCAGTGATATTCATTTTATAAAAGATTTATAAATTTTTTATAAAGAACTATATTTATCTTTTCAATTAAATCAAAATTAAAAAAAAAAGAAATAAAAAATAGTTAAATTCATAGTTGATCTATGATAAAAGAAAAAAAAAAAATAAGTGAATATTTAGTTTATTTAATTTTAAGATTCATTAAAAAAATTTATAGAGAAAAATTGTTTGATTTAAAAGAATTTATTTGTTATTTTTTTTATTTGAATAATTAATAAATGACAAGATTTACTCAAATTCTTCAAGAAATGAATATTTTAATTAAACAAATTAACCAAAAAAGAAAAAATGCAAATAAAATGAAGGAATTAGCGAATAAAACAAAAGAGTAATTATTAACATGAACTGAAAATAGTTTAATTAATATCGAACGATGAATAACCAAAGTTCACATTCAATTTTATATGAAAAAAGAAAAGTAATTTCTTGTATTATAGCTATTGTTATTTGTATTGCTGTTACTCTTACTTTTATTTCAGTTATTATTAGTCCAACAAAACAAATATCAATTCCTTTAAAATCTTTTCAACCAACAGACAAAGCTGAGGTCACATTAAAAATTAATGGTTTAGTTCCATTTCATTCATTCTTAGATCTTTATATTATTCCAAGTATTTTAAATATTACATTAGGTTTGTTATTCTTTTATTTTTATTTGTATTAAATCTAATTACTAACTTTATAGAACCTATTCATGTTGATAGTTCTGTTCATTTTCTGGATAATACAATTTTTATGGAAAAAAGAAATGATTTTAATATTAAATGTATTAATGATATATGTGAGAAAATATTAGTAGCTTCTATAACTCCAATTCGTGAAAAAGATTTTATTATTAAAGGTAATATACAAAGTAAAGATATAATTAAAGATATAAAAATTATTGCTGAGTATCAATCGTATCTTTGGGTTATTATTATGAATGGTATTCATTTAGTCTCATTGATATTAAACAGTATTGGAATAATTGTGTTATTAGTAATTTGGAGAAAAACATCAATGAAATCATGGTACTTTGAACATTCATATTTATTAGTTCTTCTTTTCTTTACTATTTTATATGATGCAACATATCCATTTATTTATCTTTATAGTGGTGTTTATGTTCTTTGGACATTACAAGCATTAGAGAGTTTATTTATATTTGTATTATTCCTTTATTATTTGATTACATTAATTTGTATGAGTTCTAAGAATAGTATAAATAAAGGTTCTATTTTATTAGGAATAGGAGTTGGAGTTGGTCAGTTTTGTTGTATGATTTCTTTATTAATGTACAACGGTTCAGGTAATATCAAAAATTGTACAAAGCTTGATCAACCTACTGAGGCATATGTTTTGATTTCTGCATTATCATTTACTAATGTCCTTTATATTATCTTATGTGGATATCATAGTTATTGTATTCTTCGTAATAATCATAGTTTCAAACAATTTATTGTTCATTTATTATTCAGTATTCCTGTTGGAATTATTCTTGTATTCACAACATATAATTATTATTATTTTTCTCTTGTTCCACCTGTCTCATTTAAATTGGCTACTACACTTTCTTCAGAAATACTTCTTATTGGATTTTATGCTTTGAACTTTGGAACTTACTCTCTAAATAATGTTGAATACAAATTAGTAAATTCTGAAATTCCTATTGAAGATAATGATTCAAATTCTCATTCAAGAAAGTCTTTTGATCTTTCTTCAAGGCCATTAGTTTCTGCTAATTTAAAAGAACCAAACACCTTCCTTCAATCAAATTCAGTTCCAAAAAGCAATATTTCAAAAGAAGAATTACAAACAAATTTCGTTGGTGATGAAGAAATTATTCTTTAATTGAAAATATATCGTGCTTGTAATTGAATTTGTCATTTAAATTTTTATTTATTTGTCATTTATGATTTTTCAGTCAATTAATTACTAAAATCTTAAAAATAATTTTTTTCTTTTTTTTTTTTACAGAAAAGTTATTAAAATGATATTTTAGTAATATTTGAAATATGAATATTCTTTGTTTTGGTAAAAATACTTGTGTTGACAAATTACTAAATGTCTAAATATAATAGTACCTCTTCTTCAATTATTTGAAGTGACTGAGAAATGTATCACAATGATTATTAAATTAAGTTATTTAATTTTTAAATTTAATATGAGTAATTATTAAAGTAAACTTCTTTGTTTTCTATTACTTTAACTTATACTTTAATTTTAAATACTAATTTATTCAAAATATTTTGATTAAAAGTTTTTTCATTCTTCTTCTAACAGATATGAGTTTATATTTTAAGTATTTAGAAAATGTGATAGAGAGTTAAATTAAGCTACTTAAACTTTGATGTCTCAAATCATTTATATAATCACTTTATGGTATGTATTTTATGTGTTATATACATTTATTTGGTTTATTTTATCATAAAAAGTAATTAATATTTGATGTATTTGATGGTATTAAAAAATTTCTTATTAAAATGATAAATTCTTATGATAATTTAAAACAAACTAGATATTTCCTAATTTTTAAAACTCATTATTTCAAGTTATAAATACTTATGACAGAATTAATAAAGAAAAAGGGAAAAAATAAA